CAACGGGTTGGGTAAGCAGTCGCACGCCAAGAGGGGGAGGTTGGAGGAGAAAACGGAGGAGGAGGATGAGGAGGAGGAGGAGGAGGAGGAGGAGGAGGAGGAGGGGGAGGAGGAGGAGGAGGAGGAGGAGGAGGAGGAGGAGGAGGAGGAGGAGGAGGAGGAGGCGGAGGAGGAGGAGGAGGAGGAGGAGGAGGAGGAGAGGGAGGAGGAGGATGAGGAGGAGGAGGAGGAGGAGGATGCAGGACGAGAGAGAGAGAGAAGCAGGAAGAGGAGGAGGAGGCAAAGGGGGAACAGGACGATGAGGGGGAACAGGACGATGATGCTGATAATGATGCTGCTGATGATGATGATGGTGGTGGTGGCGGTGTTGATGATGATGATGATGATGATGATGATGCTGCTGCTGATGATGATGATGATGATGATGATGATCATGATGATGATGATGATGATGATGCTGCTGATGCTGATGCTGATGCTGCTGCTGCTGCTCATGATGTTGATGATGATGATGATGATGATGATGATGATGATGATGATGATGATGATGATGATGATGATGATGATGATGGGCGCCAGCGAGCTCGAGGAGGAGGACACCGACGAGGGGGGCGCCGGCGAGTTGCGCGTTGGGGAGGGCGTCGGGGATGGCCACCAGACGCTCGCGGAGCTACCCGACCTCGGCGAAGATGTTGGCGAGGACCGCGAGTTGCAGGCCGACCGTAGAGTCGCCAAGCGCGTAAATGAGTTGATTACACTTATGCAGGATGAGATGATGTGGCTCGTGCACTTACCTTTGGATGTGTATTCGATCATCGGCGCTGTGTGTAGTATGACATGTGATGCGTTGTTCGATGCAGCCACCAGGGCTGCGCACGTCGTTGTCGCCTTCTGCCAATACCGCATTTTTGATAGGCTCCGTGAGTATCCATTTTCGATGGCTCTTGGGATTGACGACGACATGATGAAATCACTGTTAGATCTGAAGGATGGCCCCGAACCCGATGAACAGTTCGCCAACCAACTGTGGCATTTGATGAATGGTGGTTATAGCGTCAGCCGTCTCCTACGCGTGCTTCAGGGGCTGCAGACTGTGGAGTGGACAACGGCTACCGCTGAACAGTTGCACAGTTCTGCCGCTCAGCTTATTCGCCGACACCCCGAGTATGGCGTTGAGACCCTCATCGCCAGGAGTTCAGTGAATACGCTGGACAAAATGCTTCCGAGACAGACGGCCGACGAGAGGCGCTTGGATAAGCTCGACCGAGGCATCGCCAAGCTTCAGCGTGCGAACCCCTACAAGGGCGGCGGGCGGCAATTATTCTTTCGAGACCTGGTGGATGTGGCGCGCAAGAAGTCTTGGAATTTCAAGCCCGTCGACGCACGCCAGAAGCTCATGGCTAGTCATTCGGAGGCTTGGTTTCAGAAAGGTCCTGCAGTCAAGCGTCGGTACGAGCGTCAGGCCATGGCTCGCGCCAGCGCCAGGCAGGCGGAGATCAATGGCGAGATCGAGCACCTGCAGGCGGCTCTTCGGCTGCACCGCAGTCGCATGCTTGAGGAGGCGTCGGCGGGCAGGCCGTTGCACCGAATCGGCTGCCATCTCACGACGTCAGATTTTAAGTATTTCGAGGAGCAGTGGGATGAGCCCCATCGTTCCGCTGCAAGGTGCGTCCAGTCTCTGAAGGACTACACGGTCGCGCCCGACCTTCCTGGGCCAGCTGAGCGCCCGACCTTCTTGGGCCAGCTGAGCTTGTGCGTCTTCAAGAGCACGTGGTTTGGGGGCCGCCAGCGACGGAGACCGCCTCTTGGGTTCGATGTGTTAGCGGTCAGCGTAGGCATTTCAGGGGCTGTGCATTTTCGATCGACCTCCTTGGCGGGGTTGCGTACTTCAAGTTCGCCTCTCAATCTCCAGTGCGCGTCGCCCTCAGCGAGTTGTCTCAGGTTGTGCGCTGCCAGTCCGCCGAGACCGTCACGGCGGAGAATTGGGGCAGGCTGGCGCTGGAGGATCGGGTGTCTACGTTCACCGTTGACTTTATGTTCAATGTAAGTGCTCATGACCTTTACATCGTGGGCAACGATAGGGCACGCGTGCTGACTGGATTGCGCCACGTGGGTGGTGCTTCTTATGAGAGTCGTGGCGACTGGATGCCACTTGATGTTTATCTCGCTGGCTTGCCTGAGAAGCCGAGGCCAGAGCCAAACCAGTCGAACAAAAAACAACGCGGAGGAGCTGGTTCGATTGTTGCCTTGGCTTCAGAAGTGTTGGGACAAGATCCCGTCGCAGCGAGGCAACCTCGAGCCTCCGCTTCTTGCGCCGCCGCCCGAGCCTCTCGAGGATCTCAGCGACTCGGCCATCGAGGAGGTCTTCGCTGAGCTGGAGCGGTGGAGGCTGCGCCTCGCCGAGGGCGACGGCGGGGTCCTCGGCGACGAGTTTCGCGTTCGGGTGCTCGGTGGCGTGTGGGCGGCAACGCGCGTCGGCGTTGCCGCAGACGCTGTTGCTGGTGAGGCACGTGGAGCTCTCGCCCAAGCTTTCTGCGCCCAGTGCAGTGCTCGGAACGTGGCTCGGTTCGATTGCGCTGCGTATCCAGATGGTGTCCCTGCTATTTGTGCCAGGGCGTGGTGCCACCGCATGCAGTACTTCAACGTGGATGCTGCTCACGACGGCGAGGCGGGTTTCCAGGTGGCGCCTGGTCGCGCGGTCGGGTGCCGCGAGACGGAGGAGTTCGCCGCGGCGGTGGCGGAGCTCGGCGGGCACCACCAGGCCACGGTTCGCGTGGCGCAGATCAGGGCATTGTTCGCCCGAGAGGATGAAACGTCAGAAAACAGCACGGTTCCCCAAACAGTGTTTGCCAACGTGTGCGTTCGCCAACAAAGCGGTCCCTCGGCCTCGCGGCCTTCTGCCATCGCGGCCTCACGGCCTTCTGCCATCGCGTTTTCATGGTCTGGGGGGGGGGGGGCACGGCGCCCCAGCAGAAGCGAGGCGGTGCCCTCGCCGCAAAGACGGTCGCCTCCACGAGAGCCTTGGCTACAGTGGCTCCTTCGGAGAGGCTGAGAGGTTACCGCCACCAGAAACCATGCCAAGACAGGATCATCTAGCAGGGGCCGGGTGGCCTCAGCAAGGGCCCAGTGCTCGCGCGAGAAAAAGGTGAGGGCTCACACAGGGATGTTTCAGGGGCCTTTCAGGGATCATTCACGAGAAGCGAGCCAAGTGGCCTCCACAAGGGGCCAGCGCCCCAGGAATTAGGACATTGGCCCCGCGGGCCTTCTGGGCCACGTTGGCCCCCTGGGGCCCCGCGGTGTGCTCGAGTGGGCCTCAGCGCTCCAGCGCAAATTCTTCCTCCTCCTGCGGTGCGTGATGCGCGCCCCTCGCGAGATACTGAGAGATATGAGATGGGCCCATCTGCTGGCCGCGACGGTGGGCGCCGCCCCAGTCCCAGTGCAAGCTCGGAGCGCGAGGCCAGCCGTGACCGCAGTCGCTCGGAGTACAGCCAGGGCTCAGGGTCCCAGCGAAGTCGAGATGGTGCTGCGCCGTCTCGCCCGCCGAGTTGGCTCCAGGACTTGGTGGGACAGGTGAGCGCCACCAACAGCACGATCGTTCGGCTCGAGCAGAGCATGCATCAGGAGGTGGAGAGCCTCCGCAGTGCCCTGGCGACGCACGATGGCAACGTCCGCGCCATCAACTCCAGGCTCGAGCAGGTGGAGGCATCGCCGTCGGGCGCCATTTCAGAGGCGGTGAAGGTCGCGATCGACACGAAGATGGAGGGGATCACGAGGGACTTGGAGCAGCTCAAAGCTCAGGCATCGTCGACGGTTTCCTCGGGCGGGTCTTCTGCAGCCACATCATGGCCTGAAGGAGGACACTCTGGGCCACGTCATCAGCAGGGGCAGCCGCAGACTAATAAGCTGCGCCGCTGGGTTGGCACATTCCCGCGAACGCTCACAGTTACTCAGCGGCGCCAGTTCTACGAGCAGCAGGTGGAGCCGCACGTGACGACAGCAGTGAAGGACGGTGCATCAGTGGTCATCTCACGCACTGGGAAGAGTTCCGCTGTAGACTTCACCACCGAGGTACCGGCTCGGGAGTTTCACAACATATTTGCGGATAGGCAGCTGCAGTGGGTTGACCCACGTGACAATCGTGCGCATGCAGTTCGAGTGCGTGGCGACCTTCCTTTGGACGTTCGCGCACGTCAGAGAGCGGCCTCCAACCTCTGGGGCGGCACGCTCAAGCTGCTGAGGGAGTCGGGCACGGACGTGCGAGGCTTCAAGCCTGGCTGCAATGGATATGTGGGCATCATCAGCTGGATCTCGGACACGGACATCTATGAGTTGTATAAGCTCGAAGGTTCGGATGAGCGCGGATGGTCCTTAATCCCCTTCCTGGAGGAGTTCGCGAGGCTAGGAGTGGCGGAACAGAAGGTCCAGGATCTCATTGAGGTAGCCACATCGGCGGCTGCCAGTGGACACCAGGATCTTCCAGTGCGAGACCGAATGCAGCAGTCTGACATGAGGATGAGGGCGCCACACATTTCTTCCTTGGGAATTCAAGATACGGCGGGTACTGTAGCGCAGGGTGAACTTATGCGAGAAGGGGTCGGTGAGATCGATCCTGTTCGAGCGCAGTCTGAGTGTGGTAATGCGCCTACGCCTACTGCCCCTGTCGCCCTCCTCCCTTTCGTCCTCGGCTTCGGCGCCCTCGAATTCGACATCCAGTAGTAGTGACAGCGAGAGTAGCTCGAGCGAGTTTGAATTCGACTCTACAGATGGCAGAGCCCCCTCAGAGCCCCCACCAGTTTGAGGCCCTTTCCCCTTCCTCCCAGCTAGTAGGTTATCCGTGGTTTCCTGGAATGTCCAAACGTACTTTGGCAGTATCTGGGGATCTCACCAATCGCACATCGCTGAACATGCCCGTCTCAGGAAACTCGTTCGGAAGTTCGACGTGATCATCCTTCAAGAAACCCATGGGACCATAGCTGATATCACTTCCCTCAGTCGGTCCT